GGCCAGCGGCCGGTGAGGCGACATACGGGCTTATAATGAAGAGAGCACTTCACACACAAAACGAACGGTCTGTGGCTGATTAACGACCGCCTGTTCACGGATATATCTGACTGACTCACTGACTCACTGACTGACTGACTAATAATACTCACAACATATAGTGTGTAGGTCAAACTAAACTAACAACAAGCTTTCCTGTGCTTGTAGGTACTCTAGTAAGGTTGATTGAACTGAGAATTTTCCATAATCTAAATTCTATTAGTGTCTTAATTTTCATGAACAAATTAAGCATTACAGTACCGATACATTCACACATTCTATAAATATTATAATGTTCAAACTGGGTGTCGTGTAATTTGTTTATTGTCGTCACTTCATTAGTATAATGTTACGTGTTATATCAAATGATAGTTTTGTAACTTTACACGGTGTTCGTTTGTTACTGATAACCGTACCCAGCCACTGAGTGTGTGTGTGTGTGTGTGTGTGTGTGTTACGGTCCCGGAGCACCCGGGAGACGGTCGGATCGATACCGAGCCTCTCGTAGGCTCTGTCATTGTTCCTGAATGTAATGTTATCATTAGCATCTGTTACACGCACACACACACACACACACACACACACACACACACACACACACACACACACACACACACACACACACACACATGATAGACAAGTTCATTAAGAATAATGGATATTAGATGAGGTGTGACAATTGTATTAGATGAATGTCAGTACAAGTAAATAATTTACTATGTGATAAATTATGTAATAATGTACTTATCAAAAGTACATATATAAGATATTTCTTATGTGTCTCCATGTCTAGTGGTAGCCTGACGGTCCTACTTCACAGATAGTAGATTCAATTCTAATCATCATCAATATCTCTTGTCTTCTTACTGTTGGTGGTAATTCGTTAATCAGTGTTTTATAAGATCCTACGAGTCAGCTCTGTGTTGTAGTATTTTAAGTGTTATTCGTATTAATTATTAATCTATATTATTGAACAGTATATTTTTATAAAATTAATTAATATTCCGTGTGTTGTAATACGGTATTAATGAATGTATGTTGTATATCATTTTTATTTCCGTGAGTTGTGCTCGGTCGAGATGCAGTCCACTACTAATTGATGAGAAATTTGATCGTTTTGAATGTGAACACGGAATGTGCGGTTCATTACCAAAATATTGATGGAGTATTTCCTGGAATGTTGGGCTTTTTATTATTTTGAGTATAATTTGTTACTCCAATCATTTATCTCTCCGGTAGGTATACTGACACTTATGTAGGTATAATCTCGTGACCAGGCGTCTGAATCATCATCCTCACATAATATTCAAAGTACACGGAGGAGATATCGAGAAGGTTCTATTCAGCAAGTCTGTAAGATGTCTTCAGTGTTATACAAACTCCTCTTATACTATTAAGTCAGTCGCTCGCTGCTAAAGAGACGTAAAAAGACGACTCGAGCTGAGACAAAACCGTCCGCCATGCCGCTAGGAAGGGCGGAGCTAATAATATTAACCGCTTAAACAATAACTTAACAACTGATCGCGGCGCCCGACTCAAAAGGGGCTTTGTGCGCAGGTAACAAGATTTAAAGTCGAGTAGCTGGTCGACGCTGATAGAGCGCTCCGTGTGAACGAGCCCGTCGAGGAGAGGCCAATCAGCAGCCGGTTGCCATGACGACGAGGGTTCTCACCAGCGGCGCTAGATGGCGCCACTAGCAAGCTGAACTGTTTACGGAACACATCATCGAACCCGCGCCGGCTCACTCTTCACGATGATTGGATACGACTCGACTCTAGTGAATGATGCGTGTACGGGATACGGGATACGGGAATACGGGAAGTAAAGCCAGCGAGACTCATCGTGAACCGAGGATGACATCGTAATATTTAAAACATCACAGTGATAATGCTGAGAGCCGAGCGGGAGGCAGCAGCTCCTTGGATACCTATAGTTGGATCGCACAATAATCCCAGGAAGGCGATGTCTCCCGGAGCCTGTTATAGGGAAAACGTAATCTCCAGAAAGCTATTATACCGAACTCAAGGAGCGTCACTCATAACCGCGTCGCCACAACCTCCGGGCCCCGACCTGCTCCTACCAACTTTAATTCGTCCGCAATAGATTTCATTTTGCGATGTTGTCGAACTGTTTTCCTTGTTTTGGAAATTGAGTGGCGATACACTTAGTGTGCTTATATTAGAGTTTATATTGCATTGTGGACGGCCGGGGTTTGGAAATTAAATTTTCATAAATGTGGCAGCGGGGAGAGCTCGCTCGGGGGTCGCGTGGGGTTCGTGCGCTGGTGTTGGAGGCTGAGAGATGCCGGGGGGGTGCTGGAGGGGCGAGGAGGGGGCGGAGGGGGGGGGGCAGGGTTAGTATTTGTGTTTTCCCCGCAGTTTCCGAGGCGGCCGATACTTGAGCCCCGTTGTGTGTAAACGGCAAACGGAAAAATTATTAATAATAATTATGGCAACAGCGAGTGCCGAGTAATTATAATGTATGTACTCTCTGAATAGTTTGAACATAAATATAGGCGGGCGCACAATGAGTTCATTCGTTAATGTTTATAACCGCGGCTGGCAACACGCGCAGCTCCGTAATCGTCTGCGGTCTCATCTGATCGTTTGAGAGCTTAATCGCTCACTCCGGACCAGCCCCTGGGTCCCTGCCCCTGGATCCCTGCCCCCGACGTGTGTTACGCAACAAACACACAGAAAAAAGTATTTACATTGCGGTTCAATTTATAAAACTTGGTAATTGAGTGAAACATTGGTTATACACAAGAATTACTTGAAGTGTTATGATCAACTCTTTAAAACGTTACTGTGCTGACAGAGCGTAACTATTAGTGGCTGTCTGAAATAATGCAATGCTCTTGAAGTCATTTTATTATTTCCCGTTATAGTAGATATAATACTTAACTATTATTTTATCTAAGACATTAGATGGTTCCCTTCTTATTAATATTGTTATATTTTAAATAATGCCATGTCAAAAATCGTTCTAATACAATCGTATTCAAAATTTAGTTGAATTGACAAAAAAAAAAACAATTTGTTTTAATCAAAGACAATCGATCGGGCGAATGACTCGGGAATGAATTGTTGCGTCAATCATTTAAAAAGAAATAGCAATTTAATGAAAGGAACTCGTATTGAGCACAATTGGTCCATAGAAAAGCTTCCTTCCGCGAAATCTGGCAATTCTTTGCGTAAAATATCACGTTGCCTCAAACGGGTGTCGAATTCACTGCAACAAAAGTCTACGGCTATATTGACTGAACTTTACAAATACTATCGGGATTTAAACGGCCGTCGATAACAATATAATAATGTTCATTAATTTAATAAAGTTGTATTGAACGAGAGCCGTTCTATTAACTACATCTAACGTAATGAACCGAACAATAGTCTTGAAATCAATTAATCTGCGGGCGGCGCGGCGCTCTCTGGACTCATTATACTTGATTGATAAGACAGCTCGGGGAGTACTTGACTCACTCACTACATACTAACAGTGTATACGGACACTACTAACTAGTTCACTCACTCATTACTCTAATTATACTTATAATCTTATTATTGTCGTATCAAATAAAACATAAATTGTCATCAAAATCTCACAATTCCTGAGAATTTAAAAGGTATCTATTATAATTTAATTAAAGCATATAAAAATGTATTGATGTAAAACATAATATATTTTTAATGAGTCCTGTTCTCCACAGTAAGACATGGTCACCACGCTCCGTAGACAGTATCCAGTTTCTCAATCGAAGTCAATCGTCGTCGTAATGGGATAATGGGCGTTTTTGTTGTCGACATTTAAGAAGAGACGCAGATTCCTTAATCGAATCATACAATTCGCTGTCGAAGTTAATTGTGTTCCCGGAGGGATATAAAAAACTTAAACGACTATTTTGACAGAAATGGCGATCTCTAAAGGTTTGTATATTGTATAGAATGGGTCTGTGGAGCGGTGGAGGTGAACGGTTTACTACATTTATATATTTAATAGGGGTTTGAGTATGTTTTTAGAATATTTTTTACTTCCTTTAACACTACACAAGTATGAAAACACTTCAACTTTTTTCAGTATTCAGTTTAATATTTTGGTAAGCTATATTAATTTTCACTACTATTTATATGAAGAAACGATGTCTTCTCATATTTCAAAGTAACAAGGTTTAATCAACATCTTTACTCTCTGCAGTATCGGTTGTAGGAATCTAATCAGCTCAACTCTCTTGACTATAACACTGTCAATATTCGACACTCTATTTTTTAGTGAAATTAAGAAGTGGCACTTACTTCTGTCAGCAGAAAAATAAAGACTTGATTATGATTAACAAACAAGAAACGTCGTGGGAAAATCATTGACATAAAAAGGAGTACCTGATATTTTAACAATATAATTAGAATATTGACTTTTGCTTGTCATATATTAGCATCAGATCCGAACATGTACCTACTCGTAAATGAAGGTCCATTGTTTTGAAATATGATGAGTAGACTATACGTTTTGTAACTTTAACAATTGGTTATACGATCTCTAACCTGACAACAAAGTGTAATCTCAAACAGATCGTTAGTGTAAAATGACTTGAAGATTTGAAATGAGAGAAATTATTTTAAGGTATCACTGTTTAAGTAAACATACTCGTACTAAATGACTAACTAACATCTCATATGTTGGCTTGTATAGTGAGTGTTAATTTTATTGTAATATGTAGTGACAGTTGTTGGATCCTTTGCCTAGTTGACATAAAGGGCAGAGGACACAACTTATCGATATTTGAAGGCTCGCCAAGTTGTGAAAAGAGAAAAGCAGAGAATAAAACTAAAGGCATTTGATTCTCTTAAACCTTGTTTAAAACATTCGGTAATATATATTTGTCTTGAATGAATACTTATTGGAGTTCCTTGGATATAATAAAGCCATACAATCCACAAGAATTCTATATATTTAGGATCACTAACCTGTATCCTGTCTTCAGGCAGATCTGTCTTGAGGGACAGCATCTCTCGGGCGTACACATCAGGGTAATGAGCATCCTTAAACGCCTTCTCCAGTTCATCAAGCTGATAAGAAGTGAAGATCGTCCTGCTGCAAAGACCAAAACGAACCCGGTTAGATCTTACTATCCTATTAATATGAACGATATCTTCAGCCTTCTACGTACATAATATGTACCTATGTATATATTTATTATCAAGTTAGGTTAGACATTACGTTATGTTAAACATTTATTATCAAACAGGGGCAAAAAATCTGTGAAGTTGTTTACAAAATAATTTATAAATATCTATTTACTGTACTAAATCTGTATCTGTACTAAAATGATTCCGATTTACATTATCAAAGTCCTGTGCCAATGGTCCATATTTTAAATAAAGTCATAGCCAGTCTTTATATCTTCTGAATTTTATATAGAACGCTTAGCAACCGTTGTTGATCTCACAAAACATCGAAAGTGTATCTCCTGGTTGACTTTTCTTTATGTATATTTGATGTTTGGTGAAGGTCATCGATAAGTTAAGACTTAAAGGAAAGAGAAATGCTTCAGATAACTGTCTCAGCTTCTATATATATAATGTTAACTGATGCTTGGTGTGTTATAAGTTAGTTAGTTACCTGTGTCTACGTTTTTTCTTCTTCTTCTTCCCGTTGTACCCCGTCAGACCGTCGACGGTGAAGTCTTTCGCTGCTTCTATGGATGATACTCCTGGCAAGATAAAATGTTACGTTATTATAAACATAATCTTTAATAGAATTTATATGAAAGGAAATCAGAGTTGAATTTAATCCCATATTTGGAAAAAAAGCAATCATAACTCCAACATTTTCTTTCTACTTATCAATGTCTTCGTTTTAATTTGATTGGACGGTCCATATTTTTCAAAGCGTTACTGTTTTCAATCTATTCTAACATGACTATCATATCCTTTATATTATATAAACAATATGTTTTTACTCTATAGTAACATTTGCCAACTGTGAATAACGAAAAGACATTTGTTACTATCAAGATATAACAACTTAGATTCTATTAGTTGATATATTATATTTTCTGAAAGGATTATGAAATTCTGTATCGTTTTACAAAATAAATACATAATAAAAAAAATAAAGAACGATAACAATAAAATGTGTTTTAATTTTGATCCGACATTTATCATTCAATCATTATCAATCATTACAAATCATTATCGTGTCAATTAAAAACGAAGCAGACGATGACCCACATCAATTACCGGCATTACAGAACATTAACACTTTTATTAATATTAATAAGATACAGAACCCTTTGGACGTATGTTGTGATGTGTTACCATCAATAAAGTAGTAAGTGGTGGTAACGCAACATCAGTGACGGTAACAGAAGCCAGCGGAGACTAGCCACCCTCGACTTGAGGCGATCACTCAACGGACAGTTATCGCACTATGGGGATTGTCACGTAATTACTGAGTGTGATTGCCGGATGAATTAGTAAACAGCCGGCTTTACGGAACGGATCGGGACGAGGGTAACGGGGTAACGGAGAGGGGGTCCCCAGGGATAAGGGGTAATTGAATTTGGCGCCAATGAATACGTCAATGAATTATTAAATTTGGAGCGGTTACCTTATGGACTTAGTGGAATAGGCTGGGGATACGCATCGATACATGGGATGTGTGGAGATGTCAATGGTGCAGTTTGTTTATGTAGTGGATAGATTGATACATTAACATAGAGAGGGGGGGGGGAGGGAGAAATTAAGAGAATTCGTAAAGATGGATGTGAGGTGAGTGTTGACTGAAGCTATCATAAAGATTTTAATAACGCAGGCGGTTAAAGTATCTACACAAAAAATACTTAATAAAGCAATTGTTTCATTTGAAATCAATATAAGAGAGCCAAAACTAGACTGAGATCAATAAATCGTTACAAAGAAGACGATCTCCATACGCTGTAAGGGCGAACAGTCTCCAAAATATAAAAGTATGATCATTTTATTGTTATGAATGATTGAGTGTCGTCATAACGACTTCAATATATCAGAGAGGAATGTTATGCAAAGACCACGAACGACAATATTATGGGAGGAGATGCTGCTAGCAGGCGACATGACGAGCTGGGGACGCGGCGGTATGTTGTGTCAGTGGCGTGACGAATCACGAACGGGGTGACGGAGAGGTCAGGGTTGGAATGTTATTTGTTTTATGGGGTACTGGTACCGGCTGCTGGGTGCATTATTGAATTTTACACCAGCCAGCGATAGGAACAATGCTGTGGGGCAATTGACCGCTTCATGCTATCGGTATTGTTATTTAGAAAAGGTTAATTTGTGTTCTTCAATTATAAACGCCACATTCCGAGTAAAACTACTAATACGAGTGTGGAAGTTTAATTAATGTACATTATACTTTCATTCTTATGACCAGTTGACTCTTTATAGTGTGTTTTGTGTTTGAAATAGACATACGACGAGAGGTTTAGTTAGTATTACAATAAATAAACTATTAACAAGAATATGAAATACATATTAAAAAGTTTCTTTTTTATTTTAAAATCCAAAGAAAAATTTACAAATAAAATTATTCAATGATAATGTTTTACATGACAATGTTATAAGTATGGCGATGTGGTCATAATAAGATGATATATACGTGTTGCGAGGTGATGAAGGTCGTGTTGGAGTCACGTGAGGAGTAGGATCGAAGAGTTGTCAGTTAGTAAGACAAGTGTAATTACACGGTGATTGGCCGACGAGAGCTCGCCGGGCCCAATGGGGACTCAGCGGACGATCGATTGGACCCGCGGGACTGACCGGCTAAACGTGTTACATGAACGAGGACTATTACTACATCTGATAACTTGACATTCTGAAGACGACGAATAAAGTTATAGTCTGTTTGTATTGTGTGTTGTTGAATGTGATACACTCTAGGACTAGCGGGAGACACGAGCTCTTAACAAAGACGACCGTCAGGGATGACACACACGTAAAGATATCATAGAATATAACTCATCAATGAACGTCACTGATTTGAATAATTAAACTATTTAAATATTAAAATTAAACTAGTAGTCACAATAAAGCGTCTGTAATTGAAGACACAATGATTTTTTTCTAATCCATAACCCTCCTTGTTATAACTTACACTTATATAAAACATCTCTTTATTACAAGCAGACAGTTTCGAAAACAGGAAGTTCCTGAACCGAGCGAGATGTTAGCGGTGTACACACACATACACACGCACACACACATACATACACACATGAAAAACTGTTTAAATGTTCATCGCATTACGTAAAATACGAAAACCTATGGGTAATGTATGCGTCACCACGGACAGGGATAACGACGTGAAATGTGTCCTACGGAACAATGTTAGGGTTGAAAATTGAATGAGGGTAAATAATTTAAATATGAGGACCCTCCCTCGAGAAAATATGACTCTCAGCGAAGGAAGGCTACTTGTCGCAGAGAGTATACCGGCCGCGGCACTTTACAGACATTGTTAGGACACATAATAACAAACAGAGGAAGTAACGACTGACGAGAGACCTCCAGCCATTGTGGCTCACGGCCGCACTCGGATCACCTCTATGGCTCCAATGAAAGGTTACATCCGAGGGGCATTTTGTAAGTTTCAGAGGTACGACCCCTCCCTGCTGACTTACACGCGAGAGACTCGAGACAAGCCGAGCTCCGTGCTCCCGAGGCTTGTTAACTCATCACGTGCGATGTGATCTTGTACAGTAAATGTTCTTAAATCCCGCCACATCCCGCACACTTCACAGATAGATATCCATTGAAGTATAAGTTGTGCCGTTCAAGGTCTATAAAGGCTGAATGTCGCCCGCACAAAGCCGCTGAACACCGCCAAATATAATAAATATATCGGATGGCGGCACGACACCGCAATTGCCAATTTCGAGAGATCGTCTGAGATTGGATTTGCTCACATCATCTCGCCTCACAGCCTCCTACAGCTCTGACATACGGAGTTATACACGGGATATTATAAAAATATACTTTTATCACATCAAAGAGTAACATGTTGTGCTGTGACGGCACTCTCGAACAGTAACGTTACTGAGATGTGTTTAAACATAAGTATGTTTAATATGATGGCGTCCATAAAACATACAGATAAAGATAAACGTGTATCGATATAAATAATATATTAAGTAACTGGTAGTGAGTTAATTGAAAACTTAAAACATAACTATAATAAAAGTAGCTACTCGATCTGTAGGTACGTGTGACAGTCACGATGTGTAATTTAAAACGTATTCTCGCGGCCCCGGGCGGCCCCGGGCTGGCAGGCGGCTCCGGGCGCCAATTAGTCGTGAAGACATTCCTATTTACACAGAATCCGCTACGGGCCAATTTCGCCACATTTTGGCGGATATTTCATTACCCGCCATGTTTGCCGCTCGTCTTCCCTCAATATTCCGTCTGTTTCTTTAAGATCTTATTTATATATATATAACGTGTTCACATCGACACATCCATCGTCTTAAACTTCAATAACTAAATCATATTATTTGTTCGTACGACATTATGTTAGTATCAATTTGGTTTTCAGAATCGTTAGTGCGTTTAAATAACGTTATATTAGTAACAGCTGGTGTAATGTTAGTTGAATATGGAGTAACGAGTTACCTGAATAAAATTGTCGAGCGGCTACCATACATGAAACAAACAAAATATAAACATTAAAAAAAACATAACTAAAATACAGGCGGCGCTCTCTTAATAAAAAAAGAAATTAAATATGTATGAATATACGTTATAAGTTTGGTAAAGTTTTGAGTAAAATTCTATGAAGTATATAATAATGAAATTGAATAATATATGTATATAAAGATGGGACAAACATAAACAAAGATCATTCAATGACCAATGACCAGAAAAAAACTTGGGACCGGAGATAAAAGAAGAGAAAAGAAAAGAGCGAGGATCGCGTTACATGGACACCGAACCGAACCGAACGATTCAACAGAATAAAACAATCCTAAGCTATCATATGAAGAAGGAAGTTTAGGACTCTGAAATGTACACGGAGATGATGGGCACGGAACAACGACGACACAAGAAAATAGAGATAGGTTGTAGGAGGAATTTAAAGAAAATTTACAACATTCTTTATAAGAAACCGTCTCTTAGCAGAGGTATTTGTTACGATTGATATGAATTCAATATTTGTAAAATGCTGCAAGTCCCAAGTTCAATATCTTTACCATCTCCACCATGAATTAGTTCGCTCCTAAGAGAAGTATCATTGTTCTAATTTTTGATGACATAATTATACATATAACAATATCCAGATGGCTATGAAAAATAGCTCGTATCAGATGTATCGAGCTGCCATAACAACATAACAAAATTACTAAACATTTCTATATAAGCAGTATAATATAATAGCTTACGTAAAACTATTGTAATATATAATAAAGACATTATAAAAACTAAGCTGAACGTATTTAGAGAGCAAACAAACACAACGATCCGTATATGTTTGTAATTAGACAATATAACTCAATTAATGTGTGTGTGTGTGTGTGTGTGTGTGTGTGTGTGTATGGTGTGTAGACACACACAGTCACACGCACACGGTGACGCCATGCGCTTGCGCAAGCAAACAGGTGTCTTAATTACAGTTATTGTTATAATTTGTTATTGCTCATTGTAAGTTATTGAATAATTAATAAAAATTTATTATGAAATCATACAGGTTATTATAATAGTAATCAATTAATTCATATTTACATATATATATTAACTGTATTACATAAATTAATAAAAATAACAAAAATAACGATATGTTTGTACAATTTATATTTGGTTGTAGTATCGTACTGTGAAAATGTATTTTATAAAATGCTAACACTGATATAGATTTTAAAACTTTCGTTCTGTCTGTGCGTTTTTATAACTCTATCAAACATATAAAAGAATACATTTAAATCAACTCTTAAGATGACTACAGTACTGTCACTTTTACATCTTGAATAAATTCAATTCTTCTAAGAAACTTCAAAATTCAATCAACTACCTATAGTAATCAATATTAAAAACTTAATACTTTAATTAAAGAAATGTAATGTTGTATTTTAATGTGATTAAATAAAATTTAATGAATAAAATTAGAGATAATTTAATTTCAAATTATTTTTTACTTACCTAATATGACAATGACGATAAGGCTTTTTTTTTAATTTATAGGAAATCTTGTTCCTAAAATAATATTAAAACAAAATAGAGCAATAAAATATAAGTATGATTTAATTTATCAATAATTAGAAAAAAAATCTTTTTATTAAAAAAAGAGAGTCATTTTATTTTCATTATTTATAACTCAAAAACGGCTTTAGGGATATGGTTGAAAATTGGTGAAAAGATAGATTAGAACCAGTAAAAATATATAGGATAGTTTTCATCCGATTACAAAAAAAAATTTAAGTTGATGAAATCCAAAATTTTCTTATCCACTGTCCTTAAGGAGGAATAGAGTTCGCTCGATCAGCTTTACAATTCTAATTCTGAAACTAACGCGAACGAAGTCGCGGGCCAAAAACTAGTTTAATATAAAAATGACGGTTTAAAATATTAATGTCAACTTCGTGTTGTTTATAATATAATATAATTGGTACATTTAACGGTCCGAGTGTGTAGGTAAGTGTTTTGGATCACACATGGTAATATATGTATAATGACAGTAGTAGGTATGTGTGTGTGTGTGTGTGTCAGTATGTGTGTCTCCAAGCTCCGACCCTTGGAGAATCAATCAGGGTCGTCTTGAAAGGTGCGGGGTGCGGGGAGGTGAGGACATTCAATTAGTACTAGCTGCCAAAACTGTAGTGTATGTAAGTGCCGCTACATTGTACGTATTAATTGGACACTTGATTATTTATTTCTGGACATTTGTATCCGATTACCTAATATTTTTTTAATTAATAATTTCCCTATCCCGAGTTATATTAAAGTGATTGTCTTCTAACAATTTTTTTTTTTGTATTTCTTAACCAAACAACTCAATCAGATTTAATATTTTAAAGCGGCGTTGTTTCATCAATTCGCTTTAAACAGTTTAAAAACAAGCTAACAATCTATTTAATGTGCAAAAAACAAACCCCAGGGAACATTGCGCAGCGAACCGTGGAAATATAATGGCTTGATAGTATTACACGTTCCGAGATAGGGCAGCACCGGCCACCTCCACCGATACAGGGGATTTTCTACTTCATTTGTACGAATTTTATGTGTCCCTGGCTCTATTCGTGCCCGGGGAGATATTTACTTACCTCTGTGATCGGTTTAGGTGCAATTAAATCGATCGAAAATGTGGAAATACAGACAAAATCTACACACAAGATATATATATAAAATGAGTTTTTTTTTATATTTTAAGAATAACGTTGGTTCATAATACATATTTTTTCCGATGACGCATGTAGGGACAGGTGTGATATTGATTATTATAATATGAATTGTAAATGCTATCCAAGTGTTTAATGTGTTCGACTCATCGATACCCTCGACAGTCGATAGCCTCCACCACACTCCACCACACTACAGCACAGTGTTCTGTCACCAGAGACAGCTGCCGTCATAATATTCTCGCCTGGCAGCTTCCTCAGCAAGTGATTGAATCTTATAAAATATGATAATCAGCGTGGAAGGCGTGACTCGCGGGTAATGAGCCGGCACTTTAACACGATTATCATCGCTAATGGCGCCCGCTCCTACGACGGATCGAAGACAATACGAGCTCTACTGGCACGTAATAAGGTTTATAATGGAGCCTCATTGACAGCCTGTAGGATGCTTTATTACTACTTAATTCATTATTCGATCAGTCGCCCGGGATGGGCGCTGAAAGAGGAGGAAGGGGGAGGGGGGAAGTATTGGAGGGTGGGGGTCAGGTCGTCCTAAAATATTATTGTTGTCATCCGAAGGTGACGAATTAAAACATGTGTTTATTAGATTAAAAATCAGATTGTTATATAATTAGATTATGATCACGAAAAATCATGTTCAGTATTGAGTTATCAGTTGTCAGGGTTGGCAAAGGTCTTTCGGAGTCATAGCCTTGAAAATATCGAGAGTTCAAAAAAAAACTCAGTTTATCCATCCATAATCTTATATTAATATAGCAATCTGTTAATTGAGCCATAGAAAGTTTCAGATTTATAAGTATGTTAAAATAAAATGTAGATAAAATTGGTAAATTTTTATTCAAATCCAGCCAATCGGCGAAGTACAGTGTTTATCTAAATTTCAAGCTCGTAATTTGATAATTTAGATAATGATAAAAGAATATATAATATAAAACATCAAGATACCCCAGAAGTACTTTGAATATAACATTGGTTGTAAAATATAAGAAAGTAATCGAAGAATGATTGTGTTTAAAGTAAATTCATAAAACTAAATATCAAAGCACATATTTTAATTTTTAATGAACTCCCAAGAATATCATAATGATTTAACTTTATAACAATATCATAACATTTAATAACAACATACGAGAGAAAATTGTATATAATTCTAACTTTAATACTAAGTTTTAGAAGTCCACTTATCCCTGTCATTTTAACGGAATACAAAACCATAGACCTATAAGTACTTCAGATGGTGTGAGGCATGAGCACGAGGTATAAAGTTGGAGCAACTCGGAAGCTGGTTGTGATGTAACGCCCTTCATGATTCATGACTGATGAGGAAGGTGAAAGGGAACGTTAATTGATTTGTAACAGAAGCCGACCGGCCAGCCAGCGGGCGGGCGGCGCGGCGTGTGTTTGAACTACTTTTAGTAATTGGTCAGTCGCTCCACCACAGAACACATGCTACTATATAAAAGTTTGTCATTTAGTCGACGTGTTCCTCTTTGCTTGATATTAACCGCGCTAGAAATGAACAAACAGAATGTACTCACTGACGACGACGCATTACGAATTAAATTTTAGGTACGTGAATAATTCTTTAATATTTATTTATGTTTCTCTGTCAAAGGAATTCAAATGTACATTATTCCAAAATACTATATCAGTTGAACTATCCACTCGTGTGATAGACGCTCTTTATATTCTGGTGTGTACAAACACACAAGTTACATTTAGTTAAAACTCATCTCACCGCCAGCCGGTGTGACGACACTTGTAGCCTTTTTAAATATTTTTAACCAAATGTTCCTTAACTTTGTGTTATTTTTATGTTTTTGTGTTTTAAATTTAAAACATTTCCTTTTTAAACTACAATTAGCTGTCGCTTTATATTATAAGCGCAGAGTTTTAATGTTTATTATCATTGTACATTGTAGTTGAACATCCGATATGTAGTGAGTCCCTGTTAGATGAACTCTGAGGTTCGTTCTATGTTTCTTGTATACGTGTTATATATCTGGGTATATAGTTATACATACAGTGTAGAGGTGAGTGTGTGTGCGGTATGGTCTCGTTTGTCAGCTGCGATCAGCCATGTTCAGCGGCTCAAAGCGCTGGCTGGGCAAGTTTTCAGGGAAGCTATAATCAGCACTTTGATATTCGTGCTGGGTGCTCGTCGCCGAGTGCACGAGCCGAGCACTGCACCTCAAAGGTTCGCTGAGAGCGTTAAGTGGCTCTCGGATTGCTCTGCGAAATAAACTATTTGAACACATCTGCTATTGTAATGGAATACGAGTTATTGTCTCTGGGTGTTTGCTCGTTTTCCGCCTAGCTGGCTCCGGCAGGGGGAATCTGTTTACACAGTGTTTTGCTTATTACTAGCTTTTTGAGTATTGGCTTTGGCCTCTCACGAATCACTCGCAGACAAATAGTCATCGCTCTCAAGACAAGGGCTTTTCAATTCTGCTCTCCGAATCAAAAGATGCGACCTTCCGATTAACATTTGAAGGTCCGACGTTTTAATGTTTGTTTAACTCCTTCACCTGACTCATCAGGCGCCTCACGCGAGTCGCTCCACGTTACCGATGTTATTAAACCTCCCTGGCTCATAATAAATTATATTGATATGGTTCTACTACGTGTACATTCTATAAAACCAACATTTTTTAAATAAATGGCAATAAACTAATATGTAACGTACAAATTGACGTTGCTATTCTGTTCACAATACACAAGTGACAAGTCAATCAATGGAGCAAGTCAATTAGTGAAAATCATTTGAGTGAGCACACAAAAACAAAATAGACAACTATCCAATAACCGAAGCAAAACAAAACAAATTGAATAAAATCCGATACTTCTGTAAGAGTGTCGGCCGCTAGCTGTAACACGTTGCTTGTTATTGTAAGTTGTCGCCACTTAGAGCCGCGTGACACCCGACACCGGCTGACATCCATCTGACGGAGCGCGAGGAGCCAATCACGACTCTCTCTCCATCCAATTAAGATACAAATCAGAACGACCAGGTTACAGGGTACTGTGCTAGCGTGAGACAGCCGCATCTCGTCCCCGGGACTGAAGAAACTTCATTTCCTTGGGAATTATGTGAAAAAGATAACGTTGTGTGCTGCAGTTCATAAAACTGTTTGTATGAGGAGTGTTGCGACACGTGCTCTGACTTATGAATGATTATTTTAAAATATATGATTTGTAACTTTAATATTAAATGAGATGATTATCATGAACACTTTAACTGTAAGATTGGACGAACCTCGGTTAGTTTGTATCCATGAGAATGCGAACTGTATCGAGCTGATGTTTGAGAATATGATTGTGATAAGAGCGGGACGGGACATATTAGTATTGCACCTTCATTAAGAATGGTGCCAGGGACGAAATATTGACATATTTGTACACCTTCAAGAATCAAGGACTTGTCACTTTTAGTTGTGATATGTTCTGAAATACTGAAAAGGATACCACAAAGCTACTCGGTGAGAGCGTTGCAACGTTGGACCAATGAGATAATGTTTTAACCAGCTCAGTTCTCAGCGTGCTATGTACTTCGCCCGCAGTACATAGACCTGTGCCTGGTCCCTAATGTTCATGTTATAATGCCGGCTTCCTAAACAATAGCGAGCGAAACGACCATCGCGTTGCATTGTTTTAGGAACAATAAAAAAACGCGGCCATGATGGCAAAAATGTCAAATCTACTCGTAAATTCCACCCTGCGGCGTTCCAAATATGAAATTCCCGCACAGAAATGGCGGCGAAGGCAATTTTTACAAATGGCTGCCGAGCCCCCGGCGGGCAGGTGGCTTGTTTTCTGCGAGCTCCTTTCAGAACTAACTGGGGTTGAAACCAAAACACGAGGCCGTGTGTGAACCGCGGCCCGCTGCCACGCTCGCCGTACGACATGTACCTAAAGTATATACCCTACACGCGACACAATCATTATGTACGTATGTATATAACAGAGTAACAGAGACGTTTAAGATATGAGAATGGAGTCGAGGAAACAGAAGCGAGTCGTAATTGAGTAATTTGAGTATCAAAAGTCGTATCTCGAGCTCTCTAATTTGCATTTAACAAGATATTTTCTAAAACGTCACGTTCCACCTCTAAGCAAAACCCTCACCGGTTGATCTTAGGAAAATAACGAGACGGGGGCCGCCGCGGGAAACACTGCTCTAATGTGAAGCACTCAAAGATTATATTACATCGGTTAAACAAATTGGCATGTGATTTATGATATTGGGTAGTGCGGAGCCTGCGCGGTGATGTTTGACGTTTGGCGGATTCATTACTGAGACAAAGGCGATGGGGGGAGTCGGGGCGAGGGGAGAGCGGGGAGGGGGGGACAGGAGGAGGAGGGGTAGCGCGCCGGGGACCCTCGGGTACCCCCGCAACATTATCGTAAACTCTTCTAGTAACACTTCCTAATTCACCGATGTTTATTACTTAGCATTAGTTTAAGGAAGATTTAAACTGATATTATAACATTAAATGATCATTCGCGGATACGTAATAATGAGCTGGTGAGTCTGTTCAAAGATCATGAAGACCAGCCTCGCTTAGATGTGACGCTTCCGACTAACGTTATGATAATTATTGACAAACTTAAGTTTGTTTCTGTGTGTGTTATTTGATCACACAAAAACTACAAAACCCGATTTGAATGTTCGTGTTTATAATGTTTAAAATAACCAATAACACCCAAAAATCATATGGGGTCAATGAACGCCGCAAAGTAGCTAGCGTTCAAAATGTATATTATGATTATAATATGAATTATTTGTTAGAGATAAAGGAAAGTTTAATATCTTTTTACATTAATCTCCATAGTAAATATTATTTAAGTTCAAAATAAGTCAGAAACATTTCTGAAATGTATTTTAACGTGTGTTAGTTTTTGTGTACACTATTTCATTCTTCTTCAAATGTTTTTGAAGCTATCAAAAACTCATTTAAACTTTTTATAAAATTTTAATCAAAAATAATGATAGTAAACAACTTTTTTCAAAAAACATGTTTAAGTATAGTAATCTTTAAGAATGTACATTAACATTTATAAAGCTGTGTATAGTTCATCATATGTTCATTATATCATATCATTATGGTCGTATATACCTGTGTGTGTGTGTGTGTGTGTGTGTGTGTGTGTGTGTATAATATACGGTGGTACGTACCGGTGAGGTGAGGCTGCGCGTTGGGACTGTACGGAGACTTGATCTGCGGGAATCCTGCAACAATCACAACATTCATTACACGACAGACAATTAACTGCATTTGCTGGAATTTCAATTTAAAAGTTGCTAGCTGTGATTTACCTGCGGGCCCGCCCGGGGCCGACTGAGGCCCACGGAGGCCCGGACAGGCCCGCAGAGGGATCTTCATTAGGTCGTTTCAGTAATTTTACTGCCGACATCGAGTTCAGCGAAATATTTTATAGCGAAATAAACAAGTCGACGAAAATATTATATATTAGTTAGTACAGGTACAAAAACGAGCTACAGACTTGTTTTTAAATAGAAAGAAGTAAAATGATGTAAGAATTTATCTAAATTAATATTAATGAGTCGCGGTAAAGTAACAATAGTTGTAGCAGTGGTAGTTGTTGTTCTATATTTTAATAGTATTAGTAGTAACAGGTTTTGAAATCGTTCTCTAAGATGTTTCAGTATTCATATAACCAGCTCTGTTCTCAGTAATATATTCGACGTCTCCTTTTCCCTTCTAAGTTAGTTATTTAAGGCTAATTCACTCAAACACAGATAATATTTAAAATGTTTTGTTGTAAAGGGGAAGGGTTTATTTTGTTCTGATTGTCGCGGCATTAATCTCCGCCAGAGAGGCATTACCGCATTCCTAGTGTCTCTATTACAACCTCCATTAGCGGAGCCTGTTCTAACAACGACTTCTGTTATTAAAAAATCAGCTGGCTCAATACGAGCCACATGATAATGAGATCAAGAATTAGAATAGAATATATTTTTATATGTTCTTTTTATTGTGGAATGAAATACACTTTATACAAGTGCCTACTGTCTACACGAACACAGCCGAGCAATATCTTGTATGATGTACAAAGATTTTTGTAAGACAGGATTCAACTCAAATATTTAATAAGTGAAAGTGCTCCTCCCGAGACATTTCTAAATTGAGATGGAACACAAAAGGTATCACATTCAGTGACAAAAAGTGTCAGACGTTGTTAGATAAGCCGTTAACGGTCCTATGATTGTTTCCCGGTTCACGTGGTAACAACGTAACAACGTAAGTACGTAACGTTGGAACGTGAGTACCTAAACACTTCCTGAATTACAATAGAGAGAGGGTAATGGCGGTATTGTGAACTTCGAACCGGCGCGGGTTTGATGTCATTACGATGATTTTATTTATTATATTACGCGCCGATAAGAGATCACTGATGGTGGAACATCTACACTCCGCTCCGTCCTATAAACAACTGTTTTATATGAACATTAATATTTAACAGTATCGAAGACAGCTTGTAATTAGATATTAAATATTATTGAGAATCAAATAATATCTGTAAGCACAACATCCCGCCTCAAGGTAAACGAAAAAAAACGTTAATTGTGATATACAATATTGTGGCTTCCTTTAGCAAAAAAAAAGGGCAAGTATAAAGCGGATTACACACGGCTCATTGGACTCATTGTCATCACATCTTTGTGTGTGTGTGTGTGTGTGTGTGTGTGTGTGTGTGTGTGTGTACTCTCGACGGTACAATAGACTGTTAACTTATTGAGCATCACTTCAATGATGTCAATGATGATCTCAAGTTGCTGGTGACGTCACGGAGATTCACGAGATTGTGGCTTATTAGTTAGAGGACGTGACCGACAGACAAACACGTCACTTGTGATACAAATAATGTTTAGAAAAAGAAATGAGCATCAGTAAAGAAAGAAATATTCTGTCAATTTTTTATTTTCTTAGTAAATGTTCAGTAAATCATGTTGATAATTAAATTAATCTTTTTAATTTCATCACATATTGTTTAATAACATTTATAAACCATGAATTTTTGTTTGTCTATGTTTACTTTTTCCTATGGTGAATAGAACTTATTTATTAATAAAGAAAACTACAACTGTTCTTTATTTACCCTTTAAGTATGTACAACCAATCAGTGAGTAATATTAACATCAGGACCGACCTATCACCGCCAGTTTAATGATTATATTTCAGTAATTTATTATATTCTTTATCATCCCAATATACATATAATGTTTCAAGCGTGTAGCCTTTCCTTTCAAAGCGCCTCTCCCCTGTGCGTGTATATTTTTCACGGCGGCGCGGGCGTTCTCCTAATGAGTCATTAATAACAGTTACCAAAATCCTTTTCGTGAGTTAATCTAAACCCTCCAATTAAATTTCTTCCATCCATCCAAAATACAATTGTTCGGAGGCTGAACAGCCCAGCCTGTGTCAGTATGACGACTCCACGTCCGGTCCGTTTGAACAAAAATGTTTTAATTAACAGAAATGTTTAGGAAACGGGGAGGCTCCTGTCACCCTTGATGTTGACGAGGCTTTGTTGGTGAAATATTGATCGGATACTTGTTATAACTACACTTTATACTACTGACTTTATATTAGAGAGTAGAAATAAATAAGATATGAAAACATCAATCATATTTTTAATAGATATTTTGTAATCCTAACGCTGTGGTGACGCTGTAAAGAGCCTCGTTACTTAATATAAATGTTTGAAGGGCGTGTTGTGAACGATAAAACGGTTTGTAGAAATCATAATAATCTATGATTATATTAAGGAACCCTTCTTCGTCTTAACTTGAGAGGTAAATGGTTAGTGTAGGAGCAACCTCTCGCACCCTCCGCCCCCCTCGCCCGCGCCTCACACCCCCCCACCCTCGAGGAGGGGGACGATGTAACAATCATTTTGTTTTATGTGTTTACTACTTTAACATGAAGTACGAAATATTTTTGTGCATTACATAGAAATAAAAGAATTATAGACATGTTAGTACGTACATATGTCACAAACTGACCTAACAAAAATACTACGAACACTTAATACTACTCTCTCTCTATTGAATTTGTTGCTCTGTATTTTGCAATTTTACCTATAGTTTTTACTCGAGGTCTCTCCTTAAGCGTTCAGTTAATTCGATCATATTGTTTTCGTCTCATACATCTTCTTAATATTAATATCAAATTCAATATTATCGTATATCATCATCTGAGTATAGTAATAGTATAGTAGTGTGTATGTGTGTCGTTGTGTTGTGTTCTCTGTGCCTCTGTTCTCTGTACACTGGTGGCAGCGGCCGTGTTCGAGTGCTGTTTAATGTTAAACCTGCAACTTATCAAATTTACAACATTGTAATTATTCAAATTGGTCTTTCAACAAGAGCGTGTTCACACCGTGCTCTCGCTCGTTCGTACCCATGTTGTGTTGTGTGTTGTTGTGTTGTGTTGTTGTGTTGTGTTGTGTTGTTGTGTTGTGTCGTGTAATGTATCGGGGCCGACAGCCGCCATCTTGACAAACGCATTGAGATTCAACTCACGTCTCGCTTTCCGGATATGCATACGGTAAACATCCTCCTCGACACGCGACTGTGGACCTTACGCGCGTGTGATAAGGGTCACTCAAATTAGCGAGAGTATTATCTTGTTAAACGTCGCCCACTCCTGTAGCCGCGGCTGTGATAAAAATTGTAATGAATCGCTCTGACCCGACTCACTCACGAGTATAGACTGTGGGCTGTTAAAGGGAGCAGACTATTAACAATAAACATGCTTCCAATATAGAAAAATAATTATCTACATATGTAACGCATTATTTTATATCACATTTTAATTTTTTTTTTTCAGCCTATCAGAGCCCACTGAGCAACGGCCTCTTTCTTTCATGGAGAAGGTTTGAGTATTAATCACCAATCTTGCTCAAGACGGGCGGTGATTTCAAACTTATAATTGTAAAATTGTAAGTCCAGGTTTCCTAACGATGTTTTCCTTCACCGTCTGTCAGTGGTGTCTAAATATTCTTAGAAAGTACATATGACTCGGAAAAATCACATTAGTACTTGCCAGGATCGAACCCGCGCGCTGAGAGGCGGGCTCTTTAACCGTTAGGCCACCACTCACATTTTAATTTATCATAGTAAATATTCGTATGACGTCAGTCTGTTAAGATGTTGTTAATGAGAGTGTGTCTGTCTGTATGTATGTATGTATGTATACATATTTCTATCGGATCATGTCGTCACCGCGGGCCGTGCATCACCCGGCTGCAATAAGCCGATATCTAATAGACTTGGGGTCGGTTAATTGAAAATGTTTGTGTCACACTAAACTTGTAATCCAACAAGAATGCGCCACAATAGGATCCCCGGCCAGTTAGCTGGGAGCCGTAGCGAAATCACCGATTAACCCGAAGCGAGGCGTGCGAGGGGTCGCGCGAGGCTGGCCGTGGTGGGTCGTCTAATACCGCTATGCTATTTCAATTACCGCGGCCCGCTAGAAGCTAATCCGCGAACAAAAGCCCTCTTATAATACGAGATGCTGAGTCGCCGGTCGAAGGTAATTGAAATTTTATTGCCGACGATCTGCCGCATACCAGGACGACACCAGCCACCAGCCACCAGCCACCAGTTAGTAGTGACCCCCGCTCACCCCACGGACACACACACAGATATATTATAGAATACCTTGTCATTGCAATTAGTTTGACAAAATGTTTAATTGGGTGATTATAATAATTTATATTTCAATGAAACAAATATATTTAAAAAACAACAAAACATATTCATCATTATAATATTCAGTCCTTTCCACGTTAACTTCATGTAAACATACAAATATATAGTATATTTTTCAATTAAGATTAAATGGTAATGAGTAATTCTAATGTTCATGGTGACGATTTGCAAAGGCAGAAATTAAAAAAAAATCTGTTCAAACATCAATGGATTTCTAGGCTCATGAGGAGAGCAGCCTTTAGACCAGTTTGAGAAAACTACTGTTAAAAAAATAGCAAAAGATATTCATATAATGGTGTCTATAACTAGTTAGTTCAAAGATGATTTCTTGTTAATATTTTTTCAATATTTTGTAATTCATCGCTGTTCTTGTCAAGTGTCGGTGTAGTCTCCGGCTGTGTCAACAACGATTGTGTTTCCACGAATTTAGGCAACAACATACCTAATAGCAGAGTAACTTTAGGTGCCACCGGTACATTATAAACAAA